CAGACATGTACAGAAAATGCCAGCGATGACCGACGAACCCCAAGACCTTTAACCAGCGCTGGCCAGTTCAACCAAGAGCCCCACGTCTACTTTCACTTGTCGGGCCTGCGCCAAGAAAGGCGGAGTCTCGCCACGGCTGGGCCCATCGGCTGGGTTGCTGTGCGAAGGCACGCGGCAGACCCACATGCCAATGTCGGCAGACACCTCAGCCTGCAGAAGCCTGGACAACATGTGCATAGCAGACGGTGGCCGTATGAAGGCATTTATGATGCCAAAGCGAACAACCTCGTTGTCCACCCACAGGCAGACGTTGGCAGAAGACAGCAAGTCAGACCAAACGTGGCAGGCTACCACAGCTGCAAGTAACTCACACTGTATGATGGGGTGGTCCGTGCCGGACGCCCACCAGTCGCCGAGTACTGAGGCAGGAACTTCACAGCCGAACCACCTAAGAGGCTTGCACCAGCCATCGCAGAGGACAGCACCGATCGAGGCAGATTCACCCTCCACGGCACCATCAGTGAACAGGTGTAACTTTTTCCTGTTGCGCAGCGACCACCGTCGCGGCTGGCCCTTGGGGATATTCTCAAGTATCCACCTAATGGCCCAAGCCAGTTCAGCAGACAAGGGTCGAGCAGTGAACGAACGGCTTTCCCGGCCGGCGCGCAACAGAACACGAAGTGCAGCAGAGGCAGAACGTCTGAAAACCTGACCTGCCAACCACCTCACCCTGCTAGCAAACTGTTCACACTCCTTGGGTGTTGCAGACTTGTCCCTAAGTTTGTCTAAGCACCAGGCAGCGACCTCAGCCTTGCGAGCCTCAGTGTTGGTGACAGACAAGCTGCAGTCTACACCTGGGTGGAGGCAGAACACCACGCCTAAAGACTGAAACAATGCAGAAAACGGAGCTGCTTTCGTGCCGTCCATGGCCAAGCGCCATCCGAGGATCCTGAAAAGCAGGTGTACAGAAGCTTCAGCACTAGCGGCATCGGGAGACAGCACCATGCAGGTAAAGTCGTCAAAGAACAGCGTTGCAGGCACGGACAGAAAGCGGCAAAGTACTCGCCACAACGCAAGAGCAACCCTGACGAAGGCTGGCACACTGCCACCAGCTCCAAAAGGGAGAGAAAACATCTGAAGAATCCTAACATCCTGTGCTTCAGGACACCACACTGCAACAGCGGCGTACGGCAGATCATCCAAGTGGATCGGGAGTTGCCGACACGCGCTCTTCAAGTCGAAACAGCGACCCAACAGGCTCATGCCACGCGCCTTAGCCACTCGCAGTAGCCTAAGTCCCAGAGCGGTCGTGTGTACAGTGGACATGGTGGTGACTTTCTCGCAGGTGCCAAGTGTGTCATTCAGACCGTTGAAGCTGAAGTCATCCACCGCACGAACACGATCCCCTTGGACTACAGCAAACCGGCGACTTATAGGAGCAGATCGGCAGGGGGGCAGTGCGAGGCAGCGAGGCAGGCAGCAACATGGCCCAGCCACTGGAAGCATCCTTCACAGTGGCTTCCCACAGCTCATTGTCCAACCTGTCAGAACCTGTTGAAACAGTCTGCCGCCACACCTGGCCGTTCAAATCTTTCCTTCTACGCCACAAGGTCGCCGCAGACTCAGTGGGGGCACGAAGCTTGGGCTCCATCACATTGCTAGCCCTGACCCAGCCAGTCAGGCGAAAGCCCGAGCAGATGTCAGAGACAAGACAGGAGTCCTCATGTCCCATGCCGCGCAACAACTCCCCTAGGAGAAGCAGCCTTTTGCCTTGAAGCACCTTACGACAGTGAGGAGCAAGACCCTGATGCAGCTGGTGCTCCAAAGGCGCAAGTTCCTGAGCTCGCTGCAAAAGTCCATGCAAAAACCTACACCTGCGGGCCGCCAGCTCGGCGCAGCTGACAGTAGAGACACACTTGACAACGTGCTCAAGGTCAGCAGGAAGGGCAGGCTCCACTTCAGACGGATGCCTAACTGAGCTGGCAGCTTTCATGAATGCCTCGGGCTGGCACGGGACACCAACCTCTACTAGCCAGGACGAGGCCTCACGACGGGCACCAAGAACCTTACAACCTTTGGGTGCACCTGAAATATCTGCAGAAGAGCCAGGGGCCAACAGGGCTGCATTTGTTGACAAAGGCACTCTAACAGAGATTTTCTCAGAGAAAGGGTTTGCAACTTCGCTGGGATGCCGGCCTTTTGGGAACAAGCCCAACGCACGTCTGGTCTCAAACAGGACAGACGCAGACGACCAGTTGACACCTTCACCTGTATGCCTCGAACCTGCAGACAGTGAAAAATTGTCACGCAAAAGCGAAGCCCAGAACTTGCACAGCGGCAACGGATAAGCAGCCTCGACCTTAGTGCTCCAGGACCCATCCGGCAGCCTACCCCACGGCTTGTGGGTATGTCCCAGATCAGGGGAGCAAAGAAGCTCCAGGGGTGCCAGGCACTCAAGGCTCGTCCAGAGCGCAGTGCGCTTGGGCCGTTCACCGCCCCAGCAGCAGTGGTCAAAAACGACAGTGCGCAAACGAGGGCCCAGACCACGTGCCAGGTCACACAACGGCGATGTCATCCAGAAGAGGCTGCTGGAGGGATTCTCGATGCTCCAATCGATGCCCTTTGATTCACAAAACAAAGCAATGTCCCTGCACAGTGCATACAAACGATTTGCATTTGACACCTGGCAGCGATGAGCAAAACTCAAACCGTCAACGCCATCAGGACAAGCGTAGCTGCGCAGCGGCCTGGGGCCGCCAGGTATGAACCTGGCAGCGGAAGCAGTGCTGCACGGGGGTGCCATGTGAACATACAACAGTTGTCCAGACTTGAGAATGTCCCAAAGGACGCTCACTCCCGCAGCTGACACCAAGTCCAGCTTCAGCACAGGGTGCCCAGGCGCATCCTTCACATCGACAGCGACAGTTTCGAACCCAACTCCCCTGAGGCACTTGCTGAGACGACAGGACCCAGCAAAAATCTCTAAGGAGGCACATGCGAACCGCCGTGAACTATCAGGCTGCGCAGAAGTGGAACCAGGCAGTTTGTCAGCAGGTGCGCGACCCTCGACCAGAGGGACAGATTGGCCACCGCCATGAGCAGCGACGTCAGTCCCGACAGCGTCCTGTGACTTGCCAAAACTGGGGCCCACGCGTGCAGCAAAGGGCACGGCAGAGGCAGAGCAAACAACATCCTCGGAGGCTTGCACAGCAGATGCCTCGGAAAAATCACTGGAAACACAGTCAAGCGAATCCTGAGCAAAAGAAGAAGGGCCACTTACGGACCCATCAGAAGATGCAGAAGAAATGTCAGCTGAGGCAGAGGCACAGACCGGTGCAGCTAAGACAGGAGCCACTGTGGAAGAAGAATGGCCAGCGAACAAGTCTGGCCAAACCTCGGTCTGAGTCGCCTCCAGAACATGGCCTCAGTTTGTGCAAGCATGAGCACCGTGGTCGGAAGAGCCACAGCGCATGCAGAGATGCAAGCCTTTCTCACACTGCACACCCTTCGATGTACTCCATGTCTCACGCTTACACCCATGGGCCAACGAAAAGTCAAAACAGAGAGGAGCACCGTCCCGGTTGGGATCGAGTCCCTTCAAAGCGGCAGGGACAGCAGTCTGTTTAGACGGTGAACCGGGGCCCTTGCCATTGCCTGGCCTGTTCTTCCCATCCTTGCCTTTGCCGTTCTTGCCACCCTTACCATGCTTGTCCTTGCCTTTCTGCGGCCACTTGGACGGCTGGCTGCTCTTGTCCTCCAAGGCGCGCTTCTTCTCGCGAGGCAAAACGTGGAAGGTTACTCCTGGGGAGTTGGCCGCAGCAGCAAGGGCAGCATCGACAGCAGAGGCAGCGTCAACGGCAGGAAGACAGGGCACCTGAGAAGCAACCTGTTGCCAAACAGCACGATCAGCAGCGATGACAGCATCAATGCCAGGAGGACTGTACCCCGGAGGGGCCATCCGATGCAAGTGTTCGAAAAGTCCCCTGACATACGTCTCGTGCGTGCTGAAAGAACAGACATTGGCAACTTCAAGCGCAACACCCCTGCGACTGAAAGCTTGGTACAGGCGCAACTCATTACTGACGTCAGCCTTTAACACAGTGGGCTTGCGAGCAGCCTTGAGAGCGCTGGCTTCCAGCCGAAAGAGGGTGTCATCCCTCTTTTCACTACCAATCTCTTGCTCACGAGAGCTGCAGCGACTAGGAGCAATGTAGCGAACAGATGAGTCAGAAATCATGCAGAAGGCCTGGTCGATCAAGGAGTTGCTGGGCTCAAAAGACCCAGCAATGGGCCAAGCACCGAGCTTGGACCGCATGGCCGCCATGCGGCTCGACCGCTCCTGATGCGTCAACTTCTTCGACCCATCATCCTCACCAGCAACACTGCTGCGCAACTCGGCAACCACAAAGGTGCCAGCCTCAAACAACAGGCGTGAAAAGGCAGACAGCGAGCCCTCGGAGGGATTGGCACCCAAGTGTTTGGACTGGGCAGCCTTGAGACGTGTGTCGTCAATGGCCCCAGGTGCACTGGCCACAGCAAACAGCAGCGACGAGTACGTCTTAATGCCAGAAGACGACAGACTGTCAACAACGCTCTGACCCAGCCCATACTGCAAAGCACGACTGCAAAAAGTCACTTCACTGTCAGCAATGCTTGCCATGGCAGCAGCGTACAGAGTCAGAGCACCAGCTCGCACAGCGTCCTGCCAAGGACAAAGCTGCACGAGCAAGAGGCAAAAAACTCCAAGGCCGCGGCCCAAGCCGAGCAGGAGGATCAGCCAAAGTACCTGCCACAAGGCATCACGAAACTACACCGCAGCACGGCCCAGCACACGTGCCACGGTGGGGCACAAGCCCAAGCCAGAGACCTCGGACCACAGGGCCGCAACGGCACATAAAGAGAGACATCGAGGCTCAAGCCAAGAAGTCCACGTGCGGGAGCGCGGGCAGCCCACAAGCCTGATCAGGCACAAGCCCTGCAAAACAAAGAGGCACAGGGTGCCAGGCCTGAAGTGGCGCCAGGAAGGGCCTGGGCCAGCTCAGGGTTAAGACTCAAGTCAAAGGGGCAGACCCCAAGGCCGCCACCCGTGGCAGGACCCAAGACCTGCCAGGCCACAAGGCCACAGTCATGACAGGCAAGGGTAGCCGGCCTCAAGGTCAGCGAAAGATCGCCCCAGCGAAGCTAGCAAAAAGCTGCGGCACAAAGGCAGCGAACAACAATGGACAGCCAGAAGGCACAAGCCGAGGCAGCGCTCAAGCGATTTTCCAGACCGGCAGGAAGAGCAGGTTCCTGAGTAAAGTTACAGTGCACTAGTCGCGTCTGCAACTAGTGCAATAATGTCCTTGGTGGCTGCGACGGCTTGTCGCACTGACAGGACGAGAACACAAAAACCCGCAATTTGCACGACAACCTGTTGCACAAAACCCCGTAAGAGAATGTCCATGTTGACGAAGGCTGTGAGGCAACCTTTGCAGCGGGTGACGTAAGGGCCTCAGGTGGCCCGGGATCTGCATCCCTGTAAGGACGTCAGATGCATTCAAAAAGGGGAACTCTGCTGTCCCAAAAAGCTCTATGCGGGCAACCTGTGGCTGCTGCACAGGGGCGGGGACAGGTGCGGCAGACGAATCAGCAGGCACGTCAGAAGTCACCCAAGGAGGCAAGTCAGTAGGGCCCGGACCTGCCATCGTCCTGGCCAGCCACAGGGGCATCGCCCAAGTCCGGAGGCGGCTGAGAAACAGTGGGCCAGGCAGCCGCAGGTTGACCTGGCACAGGCGCATCACCACCGACACCGTCCATAGCATTCAGATCCAAGCCAGGAGGATCAGAAAGAGGACCTTGGCCGGCAGACACCTCAGAAGATCCAGGCAGGGTGTGGCCAGACGCGTCAGCATCAGCGCGTGAAGCAGGCAAGTCCTGGCCGGAGTCTGCAGTGCCAAGGCCACCCGCCACATCCGCAGGCGCCGTCACATCGGAGAGAGCATCAGCCCCATCAGGGCCAACAGCTTGCTCGTCGTCAGTGTTTGTCAAGTCAATGACCCCGGCACCAGAAGGGACAGGTACGGCAGGAGGGTCGGTGGAGGAGCCAGCTGTGTCAGCAGAAGCCACAGGCAGGGCAGGACCACCAAGGCCAAGTAGATCGCCAGTGGGCACAGTGGGCATGTGAACACCTGAGTCGGGGTTTTGCCAGGCAGAGTCCACAGACGCTTCAGAAGAAGTGCCAGACCACGCGTCCTCTTCGAGGATGTCCTTAGCTGTGGCATACAGCCGCCGCAGCTCCTCCCTTGGCATCGCCTCAAAGACAGCGGTCAACTCATCCATGTCAGCCTGAGCAAGATTGCGCGCACGACGCACCATGCGGCTCAAAGGGACCAGCGACATGACCAGCAACGTCCCAACAGCTACAGGCCAACAGAGGGAACAGAACACAACAGAAAAACAGAACTTAAGCCAAAATGGCCGCACAGGCAATAAAGTCGCATGTTGCACATAGCAAACATGCCTCAGACGAGTACCTGTGCGGCGCAATGACGGATAGCCGCAGTTACAAACTTTTTACCACTGATTTACGATGGCTCGCTCCACTTGTGAAGGACATGATGTAAAAATGAAAAAGCACCCAAACATTGATTGTGCCAGACACCGAGAACGGCCCCACGTGAAAATGAGACGACCCGCAGATGGGGTGAGGGCACTGCCCGGATTCCAAAGGCAGGCTGGACAGGCACGTCCAAACAGGCAGTGGAGGGGAAGCTTTGTTGACCGGGACCCCTCAGCTGGCTCCGTGCCCGGCTAACGGGATGACACCCTGCATCCATTAACTAGGATGGTGTAGAGGTTCGCCTTCTTTTTCGAAGGAGTCGGACTCTGAAGCACCTGAAGCCTTACATGTGCATGTATGCAAGTGAAGATTATGCCTTGCATGCCCTTGACATTGCCCAAGTGCGTGACGCGTACACACACACACACACTCTGTCTCTCCGGCTTTTCCATGCAGAGGCGAAGCAATGTGGCGGTTTCGTTATTACACCCACAGATGCCTTACAGCGCTATACTTGCAGACACTGTACAAGAGTAGACGTTGCAAACGGTGCGGATCAGTACCGACAAAACTCGCTCCTGCGCATTTCTTGTGTGACTCGAAGTTTCGGCTGCAGTACTGATGGTCACTGCACGTAACTGCGCGTGTAGAGCTCAGAAAACATGCAGCAGACCAGTCAGAGCACCAACAAAAAGCTTAAGCCACGTGGAATAGCTTGGAGATACAGTAGCGGTGGAGAGATTTGCAGATCTGCATCGTGTAATCCTGCCATTCAACTTTATCAAGACTATCTGTTTTGGTGCCAGAAGTACACTACTGCGGTGTGAGCTGCATTGTGACCCTAATGCTCAGGCCGTCCAATGATTGGCCTCCGCCGGGTCCACGCATGCTGCTATCTTCTTGGAATCATCGATTAACAGGTACCTGACAGGATGAAGCAGGCTGCTCCGTGAAGGACACAGCTAATTAAACCAATGAACCGGACAGTAGCCGGACTAGACTATCTGCACATGGCAAAGAATGCATTACAGGACAGGGCCGTGGCTCTCACCGATTCTATAGCTTCGTGATAAGACTCAAAGGAGTGGCGTGAACTGCCCTCAATGCTCAGCGCGCATCTTGTCTCTGAGGATGGCACGCATAGTTGTCAGAAAGGACTGGAACCACTACGACCCTCATCATGCAACCTTGTTGCTGAGTCTTTAGCTGCATGGCTGGTATGAAGGACTTATTATGCCAGCTCTACGAATCTGCGAAAACTCGCTGTGCTCCCCGTGATTCCCATCACTGTAGCTTGCGTTTTCAGCTGCGAGCCAACAAAACGAACGCGATGCGGAATGAACTTTGGACAATGAGCTATCCTCTCTCAAAGATCGGTCTGTCCCGCATGTCTTCTTCGTCCGACAGATGTGATGGCAAACCACCTCGTCACCTGCGCGCAGTTGAAAGGTGACAGGCTGTGAGAACCATCTTCTCGACAGGCACAGAGTAGCCAACTCCAACTAATAACGCATCAAGTAAGATACTTTGGTTGTGTCTGCAAGGCTCACGAGGATCATGTCGCAAGAATCAAACAAGACAATCGCCACTAGGAAAACTCGTCGCCAGCCTGTTGAGCAGGGAGCTTCTCGCGCTGTTCGACCGCACCGGCAGTTTCGCTGCACCTGCGGCAACCGGAAGATCAACCGACTGTTACCACATGTTACCACGCAATCGTTTTCACCTGCCTTGATCGTGCAAGCACCACAGGCTCCCTCGTGGCACTTCAGTTCGCACGTGTGCAAACAACCTGCCGCCGCAACAGCATTCTGCGACGGGCAGCTGATGCAAATGATGCAAACCGATGCTTAACTACTGACGTGTCCGGACCGTGCCGACGTACGACTCTGAAGACCTGTGGTACACTGTGCCAATGACTATGTCAACGTGTAAAACTGTGTCAAAGACTGTCAAAGCTGGCCCTGCTGGTGGCCGGTTGGGTGCGTGCTTGGGTGTGAACCAAGGGAGTCCCTTCCCGTCGCCGTTTGACTTTGCAAAGTTGCTGGAATCGACTGGAAGGGAAGCTGGATGCAGTTTTCTGTAGCCGCACAGAAGGTGGACAGGACACTGGACACAATCCACAAAGAAAGTCTGTTTTTTTGAGCATTACATGCAGCAGCAATCTGTCTGGGTCACAATGCAGACATGTTCGTAGCCTGTTGAATGTCTGAGAATGGGCACGACTCATGACAGTCTACAAGTGCAGCTCAGCAAGCATCCTGCAGCTTCAAGTCATGTGAGAGTGCAACCAGCCTTTGCGAAATTATATTTGCCATGGTGGGGGTCTGGGTGGGTCTTTTTGGTTGTACCTGCAACAACCTATCTCTCGCCGAAGCTTGGGTTGAACGTACAAGGCCCAGAAGTGTGGTGTAGCGCATGTGAAGAAACTGGTTCAGTGCAGAAAATCATATGAGCTCGTGATTGCATCAGGTCGTCATCGGAAGAAAACAACTTTCCGAGTCGTCGAACTGCCCTAGATCCCGTGAACAAGGCAGCCGAATGTAACTATGAAGACGACATATGAATGAAAGGCAGAACACCCTGCCAAAGTAAGATGAAAGATCGTCCACTCCAACGTCAAGCGCGAGGGCGACATCAAAGAGTGCACTGCCATGCGCTGTAAGCTAATAGTGTACACCACCAAAGCCCGTAAACAAGGCTGTGTGAGCATGCCATTGGAGGACACATAAGTGGCGAAGCCAAGCCAAAGTCGTTCTGTCACAGACAGTTAAACTAAGGCAAAAACCACAAGGATAAGAGAAAGTCGTGAACGCGTAAAGTCGTTCGCTCAAGCACGGGTAAACCAAGACAAAACTGGGAAAGGCAAAGGAAAGTCATGGAAACTAGAAGAACGGTCACCAGCCAAGAACCAGATTGAACTGCGTGCGGGTGCGTGTGTGGGGTGGGCATGGTGGGGGGTACCGTTGAAACGGTGAACAGTGGAACATGTCGCATGTGATGGGAGGAGCAGGACTGGAGAGTTATCGAGCGGGCAACTCATGCACTCCTGAGATGCAATCATATGCAATCCTCTGGCACTTTGGAGCAGATCCTTTGACTCGACACCGGTAAAAGCTGAAAGAATCTCAGGGAGCAAATTTGGTTTGGAAGTCTGTTCAAGCTCAACTGCTTTCAATTTCTATGTGTCATGACTTTGCTGTGAATCGGTTAAAAGCTTGCAGCAATCACGATGTGATGTTCATGGCATTAGAGGCCCCAGAACATTAAGCTGTCTTCAGGGACTTTCGGGCACTGTTCATGAAGAACCAAGGCCTCGACCGCTAGATCGACGACTTTTACCAGGACGGTTCCGCGAACCAGTCTGACGCATTGCGTCTTGTACCACGCGTTTGCATGCCACGGCGGAGTTCGACAGCTGCGGGGACTTGGAGGCATTGAGTCTTTCGTGCGGGTGCTGCAGCTGCGCCTGTGCGAGGAGCAGCATGAGGTCTTAAGCATGGATGCAAAATAGATGCAACTAAACCGAGCCGCTGCGCATATGGGCAGTTCTCCAAATTACGTTTCGGGCCCTTTTTAGAAGGACGCCGTACTGTTTTGGGGACCTCACAAGGGACCCAAATCTAGAGAATGACTTACCATCAGGGCATGATGACTGTGATGCAGCTTTCACGTCGTACCATGTCTGCATCTTGCACATTAAGCACGAGGTAATGCAGCGAGGAAGCAAACGGTCCTACCATCAAATACAAGGTCAAAGCGCCAGACGAAAGCTCTCTCAACAACCCCGAGCGTCCCGACGTTCGTGTCTTCTCCCGCAAAGCTGCTTGCAAAGAGGGAGTGGCTGTGAACACCTCCCAGCAGATACGTCAGTGCCGAAGAGGCATCGATCAAAATGCTCAGACAGCGCATGCAGGCGTCCGAGACCCTCTGCAAACTCGACAAGTGTTCGACTGGCACCTTATAAAGCAAGACACTTTGAACTGGCACGCAGGGCATGTCTTGCGTATATTAATATGTGTTCTAGGATGCAAAGGCTTCCCATGGCTTCCCTGACAGTGCAAACGACCCATAGTTGAACTCATGCGGAAAATAAGCAAACCCTGCATTATCACCTTCAGCAACTCCTGACCTGAGATCTCAGAGCGACTACAGGGGACACATATAAAATGAATCCAGCATCTCCCCTTTTGTAAGATGAGAAGCTGTGTTTCATTACTTTGTTACAATGCTCTGTATACTGGCTGCACCTACATCGGACTTGTCATTGCCATTGCTCTGCTACAACCTCAAAACTTGCATGCCCGTTTCCCGCGCGATACGGTGGTGTTGGCCAGAGCGCATGCGTCGTAGCAGTGAGACTGTATGGGGAACTATGCTCCCATCCCAGGCACATCCCTCACACGGCACCACTGCCCTTGTCGTTCTCTTCCGGATCCCCTCCGGGAATCATCCTCAGCACGACCAAGGCCAACAACGACTCTAGCTTTTTTCTGTTGCTTCAGCTCCTCCTCAAGCTGACCGGACACACAAACCCTTGACCTGCACACCCTGCCGCCCTTCCGTCCTATACGCTGAACATACACAATGGAGCCATGAACATCCATGAACCTGGACGGCATGCTACCCAATTAGCAGTCTCCAGCTCACCAGGACTTGGGAGTCTGATGTCTGAAAGGGCAAAGGCATGCAAAGGCCCCAAATAACAAGGGAGGAGAGATCCTGGTGCAGGCTGCGAACATCGAGCATGTTGTGTTCCCGCGCTGATCTGCTGCTGTTTTGTTCGTGGCAGCCGTTTAAGTGTCAGTGCATGTCATAGATCTTGATGTCGTCCTGGCTGCTCCTTTTGTTAGCCTTGTTGTCGTCGTCGTTGTGGTGGGTGATCGATCGTGAAGCCATACCACGATTGATGTGGTCGCTGTGGGCCATAAAAAGGAAAGCATAAGGATTGCTTGAACAGGATTCCTGAGCCGTTCAAGATTGCTAAATATTACTAACAATCAAGCCCTTGTCCGACCCTATCTAAAGACTGATTCAATGTAAAAAGCTCAGATTTCCTACAATGAAGGACGGGAACTTGGCTGCTCGGCAGGCGGTCAGGGAGTGTGTTGGATTCTCAACACAGGGGCTGAACGTGGGTGGCTCGCAGTAATGAGATTATCCCAGTCTATGTAGAAGGACGGGGAGGGTGGGGAATAGGAAAATTCCTAGGGTCGGTCTGTGGGACCTGGGCTTCGTCGAATAAAAGGCTTTGGGAGCGCGTACGTCAATCATTCATCTGGGATTGATGTGTTTAAGCTTCACCCCGTCCGCGCCCCCGTCCCTTCTTCCACTTCCACTGCTTGCTACTACTACTGCTAGAGCCCCCCGCATGCGTGCGCGCGCCCCTGCAGTTCGCAGATGTTCGCAGCGGGTTTTGTTTGGTCCCCCGGCAAGTTGGCAGCAAGCAGTGCACTCTGACTCTGTCTGCGCATGGTTAAGAGTAAAACCAACACACTACATTCGAAGATTCTCATCGGCTACATCTGAGACTGTCACGACAAAAACCAAATCCTGAACATACTTGACCACGCACAGCCACCCCATTTGCAAACATACTGTCGGCATGACAAGCCTTTTGCAGAAATTCTTGATGGCACGACTTTGTTTAAGCGAGCGTGACCCTTCCCGGTTGCGCGGCTAGAAGAAAAGCCGGGGGGTTGGGGGTTCGGGGGGAGGGGATTTTTTTGAGCGCACGTTATTCTCGCAGGAGCTTTCAGATCAGACAACAGATGTCTTTGTTCAAGAACTTTTCTTGTATGCATAGAAACAACCAGATGCAAGACTCTTGCAACATCCTAGCCTATATGGTATGGAAAACAGAAAGCTTCAAAACTCGGGCCCGTAGTTCGACGCGTTCTGTTTTTTTTTGGGGGTGGGGGCGCAGCTCCCCCGCATTTGCAAACAGAATGTCGGCATGCAAGGTGTTGACACGAAACTCTTGTTGGAACCCAGATACTGCAAGTTTCTCAGTCACAGCGAACAGCCACCTCCTACATTAGCCAGCCCGATGCATAACACAGTTGGCGATCCAGGTTGATCACATGTCTCGAGAATAGAGGAGGGCGCGAACATACAGACATGCATACACACGCACTTGCCTACATGCATACATACATACATCCATGCGTGCACTCATACATGCATACATACATGCTGCATACATTCATACTTACATACATGCGAACGCACCTACACATACAGACATGCATGCGGACGCACATATACACATACATACTTGCGTACATACACATACACACACACATACATACATACATCCATCCATGCATGCATGCATGCATAAATGCATCATAAATACGTACATTACATACAAACATACAGATGCACAGACATGTATACTACCTACTTTCATACCTGCATACATACGCACACACCTACAGACATACATACAAAAATGGAACAGAGGGTCGCAAACAAAGAGGCATACAGACGCAGACACACACACACACACAAACATACCTACCTACCTACATACATACGTA